CTGGTAAATGCACATTATCCTTCAACATTCCCATAACAACCAAAGGATTGACATCAGGCTTGTGTTTATTTTTCCAATTTGCAGAGGAGTTATAAGACTAAGTAACTAGTTGATGAGAAGAATAAAGACTATGATTCACTACATCAGCATAAATTCAGAGCATACACCTCCCCTTTCGTCAGTTTTTGGCAGTGTTTTAAACAATGTTTAGTACTGCTTTGTTATAGATTTGGTACACAAACAGTCACGCAACAAGCAGAGAGTGAAACGAGCAAAGCAACTGTGTGCGCCTGGGGTAGCCATTCAGATGTAGCAGGCCCAGTGCTGGGTCAGGCAGTGGCACTTTTATTTTTATTTCCTCTGTCCCCAAAAGATCACTTTTGGTAAGAACAGTATACTGAGACATGTCCAAGCGGGTTTGATCCTGCTACTCGTTACGAAGAAACGATGTCACTTTTCCTGGTGGTGAGAGGGGCACTTCTGCAGCTAAACAGCTGGGGAAGTATTGAAGAACTGGAACTTCAGGCCAGCGGAAGAGGAGTTTGAGATTCATAATCCAGATTTCAGAATCATTATTAAGAGTGACCATCCTGGAGACTGCCAGCTAAATTAGCCTTAAAAAGTATAAACTTAGTTATCAGCTAAGCTACACAGTAACGATTCTAAAACCATGCAAATTAAAAGTAAGCTACTAGAGTATTTCCTTAACTGAAATCCTGAGAGGGAAGGAGAAATGCGATCACCCAGATCAAGCAGATATGGTGGAGGCAGACATCTCTGCAAAATGCACATACCTTAGAGGCATGCAAGCACTTCTGGTTCTGCAGCTTAGGCTGCTGTAATCAGAAACAAGGGCCAGGGCTCAAATGCCAATCTAACATTTGAAACCAAGGAGTCCGACCTGTTTTCCAGAACTTCAGACCCAGCTGCACAAGGCACAATTTTCTGTTATACCTCTCACAGAAACAGCCCCCATGAAACTGCAAAAGAAGATTTCTATTATGTAGTAGCACTAATTTTAAAAAAGGTGATATGACCTTAAAAATAGCAGGAGGATGTGTGCGGAATCTGTGCAGATGCTCAGTTCAGTACAACACATTCTGCATGCTACAGTTCAAGTAAATTAGCTAGCGAGTACGTGCATGCCATTAGCAAGCACTTCCTTAAAATTGCTTAGCATTATTCAAAAACCCAGGTACAGCTCAACTGCTAAATAATTCATCGTCTACAGGTGTGTCAATACATGTTTGCAAGGTAGAACACAAGCAGATCCAAAGAATTCAGAGGATGGCAAACAACCTCCAGTTTTGGACCCTAAGACTCAACCATAAGCTGTTGGCATTGGAGAGGACTAGGAATTCCAAAGCTGGGAAATGTAAAACACAATGCAGTACAGAAACCCAGAGGATCAAGTTTAACCCCCTTCCAAAATAAGTCTGAAATCTGTCCTGAAAGAACCAACAGCCTTTTATAGCCCCCAAAGCACACAAAGTACCTGAGGAGCAGCATAAGGAGCTCGATTTAAGTCAGTTCTCAGAAGGATGTCATTTTAATAAAAAGTGGAATTGGCTACCATATTGTAAGAAGTTTTAAGCACATATTTGTTCACTTAAGTGTTTCTTTCATTAAACTGAAATCTGGAAAGTGAGGGGTTTTGGATCCTCCACAGTATCTGATGCAATTCAGCTACAGTTAGCATTTCACCATTTGTCCCCAAGCCTTTCTCGAGCGAACGACCAAGGACTGCGCATGTACCATCCCCACGCAATCTGACTCAGGAGTGTCACCCCAACATATTCACATTGCTTTTATTTAGGTCTTCTGCCAACAGTTACAGGGTAACAGACACTTGGGACTGCAAAGTCAAAGTTGCAAGCAAAAACCAGGACCAAGGCAAAAAAAAAAAAAAAATCCACAAAGGCAATCAAATCAAATCAAATATAAATACAATGTTCTGGAGCTCTTTAATCATACTGTTTTCTTTAATAAAGAGGTGGTTATGATCTTACAGTATCTTCTTTTGGCCTAATCCAAGGATTTTGTTACTCTTTACCAGTCTTAATTCCACGCATACAAAAAAAAAATTGATATTCAACCTTTAAAATATAAGCCATATTTTCTTAATAAAATAAGTTTTGTGCTGCTGCTTGTTTAGTAAGTACTGTACATCAACTGTTCACATCTATTTAACAAATGGACCATACAGAGCTCAAGCTAAAGCAAAAAAAAAAAAAAAAAAAAAAAAAAAAAACCACAAAAAA